TACGCCACACGGCATGATTTGCATAAGACTATGGCTTGGGAATCACAGATTTGCATAACGTTACGGCTGGTGATGGCTAATTAGTCGGCCGGGAATCATGCTAAATGACATTTGCATAGTGCTACGGTTCAGTAAGCACTAATTGGTCATCGAGTCCGATGTTGACGCTATAAAAAGGCGACAGTTCGACACACTGGATATACATCAGTTTCGTCTAAGTTCAACTTGGGAATTTTTTTGTTTAATAATAAATGTGAATTCTTCTTCCTGGAAAAAATAAGACATTCCCTGAAAATAAAACCCAGCGCATTTTTCAGAGCAAAAATTAATATAAGACACTGTCTTATTTTCGGGGAAACATGGTAAACACAACAATAATAATAATAATCACCCAAGACATCTTTATATTCGTTTTTGAAAGTTTTCAATTGTGTTAATTTGAAAAGTCTTATTAAAATAACAAATTAATAAATTATAAAATTTAATAAAAGAACCAAGTTTTAAAATACAATATTCAAATTTATCATATTTCATTTTAAGCTTAATATAGCTTTAAATAATTATGTTAATTATTTGCTAAGTAATTGTTGCATTGTGTTTACTAAAAATGTAATGAGTGTTGAATGTATTTTGTATAGGTATAGTGTATTTGATAATCATGAGTGCGGGAAGCTATTATTATTTTTATTATAGCTGGAATCAACTGTAACAAAAGATTTAGAGCAAGTTTATTTATTCAGCTTATCACTAAAAAAATTTTTTTTAATTTATAAAAAATTTTTAATTTTAAAGACTATTCATAAATGAGAAATTTGAGAAAATATGCAAATTTGTAATTACTGTACTAATGTTTTTATTCCTTCAATATATGTTGAAAAATGAATAATTCATTTTATTTGAATTTTTTAGTTAAACATTTGTTTTGTGTTGTTCTATTGTGAAACATTATTATTTAAAGTTTTGTTTCATAATATTTTGTAACTCGTATTTAACATTTTTTCATCACTCAGAAGAGCAGCATATATAAGATATTCCTCATGTTATTTATGAATTTTATATTAAAATTTGGGCAGTAGAATAAAATTATTTAATAAAATGTACTCTAAATCTTGTTTATATTCTTGCTATTTGTTTATATTCTATAAACCAACATTAATTTAAAAACATCAACATGAATGAAATTAATTTTCTTTTCTAGTGTATGGTTTAAGATTTATCTTGAATGTGAAAGAAAAATCAAAAATATGTATAAAATTTATGGTGATATATCATAAGAAAATGGCTGTTTCTGGTTTAGTTATCTCTTAATAAAATAATTTGATTTCCTTCACTGACCAAAAGAAATTACTTTTTATTTATTAGAATTGCTGCTGTTTGATTATTATAATTAATAACATATTGTGTTTTTTCCTTCATAAAATCATGACTATAAAATGAATATATTGAATTACTTTGAATTGGTTTATCACACTATGAAATTTAAAATGAATAGAAGATTTTGTAATGTATAGCATTGCAATTATAGAGTTTTTACAATATAAATCTTAATTACCATTCTATTGATAGATGATAGTCGTAGACATTTGATATTTATAATGGTGGAACAGTTAGAATGGAGTCTATCAGTTCTTACATTGATTTAAAATTAGAACTAAATTATCAAAGATTTATTTGTGAATACAAATAAATATATAAAATATATAAAAATTTTTAATGTATTAATATATCACTATGCTTGCTTATGGTAATGCCCCTCTGTACTATGTTGCATCTTGCTTTTGTAAGTTTTGGTTAACTTAGTATTTATCTATTAGATTTTGTTTTAATTGCACCATTCTGTAAAAAATATATAACTTGATTTTTGTTAGTAGTTAATGATTTTTCTATAATGTGTTAAATTATTATTAGTCTATTATATTTATTGATATTAAACTCTGTAAATTGAAAATTTTTAAACAATTTTTTCTAATAGTATATTACAACAGGTGGCTGAAGAAGTGAATCTTTATGACTTCCGTGAAAGTAGATGGGATGAAGCAACCTGTAACATTTGGGGGCCCAGGTAAAATATTTTCTGATCTTTATGCAAATATTCATTTTAAGAAAATTTAACTATTGTCAAATAAATACTTAAGTTATGTAAATGCATAGTATTAAATTTTTACTGTACATATGAGTTTATTTTCATGTCTTAGCAATTGCTGAAATTTGTTTTTGATAATCCTTTATGCCAGTGCTATTCAAACCACAGCCCTTGGGCCAAATCTAGCCCATAGAACACATTAATTTGACCCAAAAACATGTTTGATATATCAATCATACAGTAAATGATATAGATAGCTCTACTCTTAGTATATATGGAATATACAAAATATTTTTGGCTTGCCATCTTATGACTGATCTGCAGTTTGGCCTGCCAGTTGAAAAGTTTTGGAATCACTGCTTTATACTAATATGTAAGTCATTTGATTAAAAGATTATTTTAATCAGATTATGTAGTTCTTTAATAATTTTAATTTTAAATGTAATTTCAATTGGTCAGAATGGATGAATTTATAAGCAGTTTATCATTTGGCCTTATTAGTTTAACTTTCATAGAGTAATTTATCATTTATTGAATCAATTTAAAATTTATTGAATTATATCATTTGAAAACAAAGAGATGTAATCTTATTTACAAGTAGTTTTTATAATTGGTAATGCTGTTTGAAAAGTGGTGTGTCACCAGTTTCAAGTTTTACTTTTGAAAATATTAATTTCATTGAACAGTTGCTTAATAAACATTTCTCTGTTACTACTTTATCTTTTTTTAAGTTTATCTGATTACTAGATAGATATCTCACTCTGATTGATTTCAGGACCCAACTCTTAATTTTGCATCATTGTATGTTACTGCTTTTTTGTAATTATAATTTTTCTGTAAATATTATTAGATACTTATTTAGTTATCTACCTTAATTTATATATAAAAACTTTAAAATATATATATATGGTTTGCTGTATATTAGTTAATATGACGATTTTAGTCTCTGTAATCCAAAATTATTCTTGGTAGACCAATCTCACAGCAATCGTATTGGCAAATTAAGTTTATTTTGTAATTTTGATGTAGTCTTTACAAAATAAACTTAATTTGCCAATACGATTGCTGTGAGATTGGTCTACCAAGAATAATTTTGGATTACAGAGACTAAAATCGTCATATTATAAAAACTTTAATGAGTAATTGAAGTAAGATGTTTCAATTTAAAATAATGCAGAGACAATTAATAATAAACATCATTAAAATAGTGCTAAAATTTGTTCATGCATATTGATATTCTGTAAGTATTAGGGTTAAACTTTGAAGACATGCAGCAATTAAAATATTTTACTTTTTTTAAAATTTTAGATTTTTCTGCAATGTAATTAATGTCTATTTTTAAAGAAGTTTTTCCATTCAAACATTTCATATCATTCAGTGATGACAACATAGCTTATAAATATGATAAATTGAAATGAATGAAATAAATAACATTTTTTTAATGCTAAAAAGAAGACACATAAAATGTATGTAATTAACAGGGATAGTTTTTTCTAAAACACTTTCATTATGGACAACAGATTCAATGATTGTACAGTAAAAGCTATGAAAGCTGAAATTGGAATTGCATGGGATTCATAAACTTTGTAGCTTAAGCAGGTTAGAACAAGAAAATGATCATGGCTTCAAAATATGAATCTATTTCTTTTTACCAATTTTCAATCTAGCCATTATTTACTATGTATATTGAAATTACCTTAAAATAAAAGGAAAAGCACATAGAAAATAAAATATAATTTATGTATATCATATATTTGTATATATTCTCAAACAATAAAAGAAAGTACGTGTATTCTAAGTAAAATGTCTTTCTGTAGTTTCATTGAAAGTATAGATGCTATCTTGGATGGTTTACTTGCTTGAATTTGATAGTCTGACGAGGGAACGGCATGACATTGGGGTCACCAATTTTGATCAAACTCTGTGGGGTTATGGTGCATCCCCAATGTCTGATGTGTTAAGCAGTAAGATGCAATGCTTAAAATTAAAGGAGAAAATTGAGGTTGAAAATTACAGATCACTTAAAACCTACAAAATTTTCCTTCTTTGTAGTGTGGCTTGTGGCTCAGTGAAGGTATGCCAGTTTCATTACTGTAAGGTTCATGTTTCGAATCTTGCCGGTATCAATGTATTTTTTTTTTATACAAAATTATAATTTTTAATTTTTGGTATTTTTAAACTTATATTGTCAGAGAGAAAAACTGGTTTATTTTTATTTAGAAAATTACAGATGCACAATAAAAAGGATAATAAAATCCATGGTTTCAAGTAACAGGTCAATGTCAAAAGCAATGTCAATGTCAAAGCTTCCTAACAATATTTATATAAAGACAAAACATTTTCTGTATTTTCATGTACAGTTTGTACTTAATCTGGCAACAAAATCATTGTTTAACCTAAATGTGTCTATAATTGCATGTTCATTTGCTAAAGAAGGAAAAGATTACTTTGGTATCTTGTGCTAACATTGATAGCATAGAAATTTGTTCTGTAGAATATAGTGTTGCCAAAATCGCTGACCCGGTCGGCAAGTGAGGTTTGTTCGAACAGAAGTTTCTGACGCATGCGCAATGTCATTTTGCAATAACTGGCAGTGCATGCCAGTTCTAAATCAGTTACAGTTAGTGACTAGGGAGACTTGGGTAGGAGTAACATAAGTAACCTAAATTAAGAAAAAACCTACAGGTGACTTAGCTCTATTGGAGACGTGTACGAATATGAATTGTACAAGCAATAAAAAAAAAAGGTCGACAGGTTGCACATGATATTCCTGGACAAAATTAATAGTTCACCCGGACAGTGAGTTGATTCCCAGACTGTCCGGGTGAAAACTGGACAGGTGGTAACATTAGCAGAATAATCACTGCATGACAATATTATAAAATTTACATATTGTTAAAGCATCCTTCAAAATCAAGACCTAATTGCAGCCAAGGGTTCCTTCAACAATTTCAGAAGTTGCAAAGGCAGTTAAAAAAAAAAAAAACATTTATAAGCACTTTGATATTTTCCCATGTGATATGGTATGAATGATTCTCCTCCAAATTAGTTGATGATGAAAGTGTTTTTAAACATTAATCAAGTTTGTTTTTCCAGTGACATATGTAAATCATTGTCTTATTGTAATAATCTGCATTTATTCAATGCACACACACTGCAGAAATGTTTATTGTTCACATACTTCTACAACAGTTATCATTTGCAAAATTGTGCTTGTGGAAAGCAAACAGATTGAATAATGTTAATAAAAAAGACATTTTTGTTAACAAAACTGGCCTTGAATAATGATAATTTTTTTTAATTAATTTTTAATTCTGCCAGCCCATTTCTACAAACAAATATATTTTTAATTGTGTTGGGATTGTCACCTGTGGACATTTTAAACTGTTTTACATATTCGTGCAGAGGCATAGCCTCTAAAGAAAGGTTGTCTCTGCAATGGAAATAGTTGTTCCTGGTGATTAGACATGGCAAGTAAACTTGGACTCGTATCCAGATGAATTTTATGTTTTATTAAAATAATAATTTTATTTAAATCTAATCCTCTTCCCAAATAAATTATAAATAAATGTTAGTATGAATTCCATATGTACTGTACAGTACATGAATATTTGAAAATAACTTTTAAATGAATATAATAAATTTAAAATGCCAAGAAAAAATTAAAAATTATATTTTTGTATTAAAAAAAAAATATATATATTAATACCACTGAAATTCAAAACAAGCTTCACAGTTATGAAATGGTGCACCCCACCAAGACATCAGCCATGCTACAAATGAGGGAAATTTTGAAGGATTTAAGTGATTTGCAATTTTAACATCAATTTTCTCCATTAATTTTGAGTATTGTGCCTTACTGCTTGGCACATGCATTGGGGATGCACTATAACCTCATTGAGTTTGATCAAGATCGCTGACCCCAAAATCATGCTGTCATCTTGTGAGTTTCCTCTGCATTTGTTTTAATTACAATTAATGAAGAGGTATTCAAAATTTTCAGTAAGATGTTTTTTAAAATGCCACTGCATTGGGAAATCAGAGCAATCTTCTCATTGTTTTAAAACCAAACAAACTTAGACCAGGAATTTATGTTTCTAGTCTAGTCCCTTTAATGTGACAGAAACAGAAAACAGTATTTTCTGAAATTTTTGCTAAAGTCAAACACAAAATAGAATAAGGGCAAGTTCTTTCTTTTTATGAACTGAAAAATTTTTCTATCAAAATGTAGCCAATAGAAGTCTCTCATGATTACTTTAGTTATGAGGTATATTTCAATTTTAAAAATGACATATACTTTTTGCTGGCACATGTAGGAACTGAAAGATGCTTACATCTAAATTTATGTGATTTAATGCATGTATTCAAGATTACTTAATACAGTTTAACTAATTTTAAACATATTTCACTTCATTGTTCAATATTAGGCTCATTGATCATATTAACTGTACAAATTCATCACACCTTTTCAATTTTTATTCAACCCCTCGATGTGGGTTCCTGTCCGTGGTGAGGGGACCTCCCAGAGATGGTTTAGATACTCTTCTTCACCATCCCTGGGATCTGAACGTCCACCCACGTGTTTGCCGTGCGTGGTGTCCCGTATGCCGGAAAGGGGGATCCTGGTAGTTGAGGGGCAACATAACGTCCCCAACACACTGCTTTGGCCCCTGCTTCGGATAAATGGGAGGCTCANCCTTTTGAAGGGTGAAGATCAGCCATTATGCCAATATTGTAACTGTACTGTAAGTGTTAAACACATACTTTACAACTGCATTGCCTCTGAGAGGATACGTAGACAGCATTTTGGAAATGCAAGTTTTAAAGAGATTTTGGGCCAGAGGCCAAATCTTGATAAGATACTGAACTTTTTGAAAGTCGTAAATATTTATAAAGAAATTTAATTAATTATTTATATATTTATTTATTTATTTATTATATGCTTATATCTATTTTGTTGTTTTGTTTGTTTGTTTCTA